GAGAGAGAGAGAGAGAGAGAGAATTATGAGAGTTGAAGGACCTTGCGACCCAGAGAAGCTGAGGGGTTGGGTGCGTTTCAAAGTTTCCGACGGCGCCGGAAGTCGGTATGTAAAGCAGATGGCCGACGGTTGACAGGAAGGATATGCGGTTTTCCACATATGTCATTGTGGTCCTCCTACTCCCCCTCGCGAGTTCCAACACGCGGCGAGCATACATGCGCGAAGCTGACGGGGATGGTGCGACAATGCGACCACTTTCCACTACTTGTTCGGAAAAGCGACGGTCCTTTGGATGGTCGGCGTATAAACGTCGACACGTGGACGGCCTCGAGCGTGTAACATCCGCTCTGGGTTACAATTAGTGTCGATAGGCATATGACAATTACATGGAGGACCTTAACAAGGTGGATCAAATCAATTACGAATACAATGAAAGCTCTTATTCAAGTGTAATAATAGCTCACGCGTTCATGCCTGAAAAGCGAGGGGGTAACCACCATCTGAAATATTGTCCCACAGATTACATGATTTCATTTAATTTTATATAATTTTATTTGATGACAAATAATTTTTCCTCACTATATATGCGGTCAGTTCGTAAAATAAACGATTTTATCTAATATTACACAATTATTTCCTGTAATTGTCGGATTATATATCGAAATTTTATATAAATTTTATAATGATTTCAGGGACTCCGTCCCACGATTACATTAAGTGATTACCCCCTCGCTGAAAAGTGTTTCTTGTGATACAATAAGTAAATAGGCAATATATAAAGGGGTGTAATTATTGCTTATATTATACTATATCTACTTCGTTTGATAAAATGTATGTGTTTGTAAATAACATATGTAGATATCATTTAGTATTGAATTATGGGTTCTGATGCATGTTTTCCCACGTTCTCTCCCTCTTTTTCGATTTCACATGACGCGTTTACATTCTGTGAAATTCTTACACTCTAGTTGGCAAGCTGACTCTTAGTTCTTTTCCATTAAAATACTTAACTTTTGCAGTTAGTTGTCATCCGCGATTTATTCGTCTGTATTTGGGTTATGAAAATTCATAATGATCTTTAATGGTCGTTTCGTACGTTTTACAACAATTTATAGGAATAGAAAACAAGTGCGATGTCTTGATTTATTCTACGCGGAAAAATTTTGTAAGTATTTCAAAAAACAAGTCACGATCAGTGTGCCTTATGAGAATAAACATCAGAGTTTATCGTCAATAAGAGAAATATTTTAGATAACGTAATGGATGTATTTTTATTTATTTAAAAAGTAAATGCGAGTTATGAGAGCGATATACCTAGATTACAAAAGCAATATAGATCGAGATCTTGCGATAAAAAATTTCTCAAAACATATTTATTATAGATATATACACGTTATTGAAAACAATGTATTGAATTGGTAAAAATAATTCAATGTTTCAACATTTTTTTAATACGCAGCTGTAGTAATCTGTTTAATCTGTTCATTTAATAACTTTAATTTTTTTTGTTTATATTTAAATAAACGATATTTAAATAAAATTTATACTTTTAACTAATAATAAATATTGCACATTTTTTCAACAATTTTGAAATTATTTACGGTTTTTATAATACAATAAATTGAAAATTAAATAAAAGATATTTATTAATAGAATTGATTCTTAATTTTTCAAAATATTATATTGGTAGCATATTACCAACGGTTTTAATTAAAACTAAATTAATTTGTCAGATTCGCATACAACGCAGCTTTGAGTTAAAGCAATTTGCAACTTACACAGAGAGAATAACATCATAGACAAACACCCGTTAAAACTTGTTCTGTAGCTCATATGATAAAATCGCTTGATTTAACGATTGAAATTAATCCGTGGAAACATGCTCTAATTTCATTTAAAAATCGCTGACTGCTTTAAATAAAATTGCCGTTTCTAAATATAATCTTAGCGATTAATCTTAATTTTACATATTCTGCGTATTAAAATCATTTCAATAGAATTAACACCCATTCCGATAGAATTAACAACTTTTTATATTATAACATTGACTCCTCATATATAACGACGATGATATATACATAAAATAAAACCTCTCGAAGAAGTTAATTATTGAAATGTGCTTCTCGAAGCCATTGGAGACGTATAAAAATATTTTTTCGTTCTAATACCTTTCTTTGTCACACGTAACACTGTCACATTCACAGCATTTTCCCGGATTAATTCTAGCGGGTCGATTAATACGCGTAAAAAAAGAGGACCGCTACGAGCACGATTCCACCCATGAGTAGATAAAAAGATAGGCCGGATTCTTGATTCTTTTCCGATTCCTTTATGTATCCCGATATCCAGCCTTTTTTCGGACGTTTGTTCGTCCTTTCCGAATCAGCGATCTCGCCGACCTGGTATGTCTTCATCAGTTCCATCGCGTCTTTCGAATGCCCGACGTCGTCGAAGTCTTCGGAAGCGTCCACGCCTTTGTGTTCCAACAGGACCTCCTCTCCACCCGGATGCTCATTGAGAAAGCTGCGGACGTTGTATACTTTGTCGTGCAAGATGAAAAGGACTTTGTCCTTATCGTCGTTTTTTTCGATCTCGCTCCGCGTGAATACTCTCATTTCCGCCATGTCCCGCCGACTTTTCCCGTTTTTTCTTTGTACAGTCGATCTACAAGAAAAGAGAATTTATTAAAATTATTTTCGCGTATGTGTCGGAGTTTCGGTATTACGTAAGTAAAATGTTTTTTTCCTCTCGCGTAATACAAAAATGTGTTCGATAATTGTCGTAAAGTACGACTCCGTCTTATCGTTTTAAATTTATTTCTCGGTAAGAATAGAATCACGTAATCCGCGTAAATAACATATTTGTGAGCACAATAATGCTTAGTTCCAGAAAGGCTAATTATAATGGATCAATAAGTTTTGAGAGTAACGTCAGAAACAAATTTAGAGATGCGATGTCATGTATGTGTTAGAATCATGCACGGTATTTCAACGTGCCACGAGTATAATCATGTCGAGGTCAACAGAATGATTACGTAACGAGTATTCAGTTAGTTACAAAGTATCACAGCTATCACAATTCAACTATGCTATAAGAGTGTTTTTTAAGATAAATTTATTATATATATACTCAAGTGATAATGACGTTTTCAAATGATTTGTTGAATCACTTCAGATGTATAGGAAACAAACATCTGTGTTACTACACCTGACAATATTAACGGCACAATAAATGATATATTATTTTGCATATATTTTCGTTATCTAATCATCCGCTGAAACAAGCGATGTCGTGGCACTATCGCTATGCAAGTTGAACAAACAACATTTTTACGGCTAAAAAAACACGCCCGTCGTAAAATTGGAGACCATTAGTTAATAGATTCCTCGAAATTTGCATAATTTCTCAAGTGAGATGCGCAGAAAGGCGCACCAGAACGTTCTCAAATGAAATATATTTCGTTAGGTGAAACTCTAGAAACTTGAGAAACGGCAACTGCGTCTCTCGCTTTCTGTTTGCTATTGAGGGGAAGTCAATATGTGCCTTTCAATGATCACGGATTCAACCCTTACTAATAATCAAACTTCGTCCGATCGCAGGCAGTTGAACGAGTACACTCGCGAGTTCCGCGATGGAAATATCGACTCGAGATGTCCATTCGCGAGAACAGAGATCGTGAGGATCTTTGTCGTTGAATGAACGAAATACGGGTTTGAGAAATGCGTCCGAACGATGGACCTTTTTCCACGTTTCCGTCGAAATGAATGGCTCTCGTTGAATCTCTACGTGGAAAAGCTCGTTTGAGACCTGACGTTCGCTGAGCCACGTACCTCCTTTTCGCACCTTCGAAGGATGTGTCGCGGAGGATAACGTCGACTTCTTCGATGAAAGGAGGACGGATCCAGAGAGAAATGCAAGGCAGCGGTACAAATAAGTCGCGGGTGCAAATCTCGATGATCTCCGTCGATAAGACGTCGTGCGAGAACCTCTCCGCGGAACTGCACTCGCGTGAACACTACGGAATCCAGTCTGTCGTTCGTACAATTCTATGATCCCCACCTCCCTATTCCTCCCGTAGTCCGGACCCCACCGCGTAAGCTCTGCTCGTGTTATCTAGAGGCCAGTCGCAACGTTGCCAACCGCTGCTTTTACAGCAAGATTCTAACGCTGACGTGTTGGATCACGGGCAATGCCTAGGTGGCAGACTCGATTGGCTGACTTGCAAAGAATTAAAAAAACCTGCGAATCTGCAATAATGAATGTTTTCCATTCAAAGATGCGTTCGGGGAAACGCTATTAACATTATTTGTTCATTCAATCCGTTTTACGTCTGATTGACGATTAGAATGACACAAACAGCAATAGTAGCGTCTCTCCCCGAACGCATCTTTAGTGATATGTACAAGCATCATTCTATCTTACTTGACGTTCGAAGACTAACAAAGATAGAACGACACTGTGGACATCAAGTGGAAAGCTTCTAATATACCATTTTCACAAAGGCTGACTGCGCGAATCCCTGATTGCTACAAATTGAAGTCTCATTTTAAGAAGTTCGTAATTTCAGATTATAATTATGAATAATTATAATCGATCGTTCAAAGCGCTTCTGTTAGTCAGAGTAACTCTGAAATATACGCATAAGAATCCATTTCTGAGACTTTCGTAAGATAGAGAAAGATCTGATAAGACAATTCTGCCGATTCAAGTTTGTCAGTTATAACATGCAATATATAGAGTGTCTAGGAACATAATAAATGTACTTTGCATTCGTGCCAAAAGAAATATAGTCTGACTTTATCGCGTGTAGCTTTTAAACTACAAGGAATTCTGACAAATATTTTCTGTTTATTGGAGAAAATTTTATCGACGATATTTTTTATTTTTTATTAGATAAACGTGAAGAAGAAAAGCATCTCCATTTTTTAAATATTCCATTAACTTTGTTAAGCAACATGTTGATTAATGAACATATTATGCGCTATATGTATTCGCGTAATTAAAATTTTTACCTTTCAATTTTCTTTTCGCGACAATAATATAATTACGGCGCGAAATCTTTCGAAAATTTTGTCGTAAACCGAAAGCACGCAATAAGAATAATAATGATGTTTTTGTACAAAATTGCTAGATACTGTTCTTGTTTGTAAACTCACATATTATGCAGGCATGTCCGATTCATATGCAAAAGCGTCTAGTCATGGTGACGCCACGTAAATCGCAAAAAGATAAGCATGATATAGTCGAGCTGCTCGATCGCATTTTTGAAAGATATATCACACGAACATTTATACGCATAAAAAAGAAACGTGTATATATACATATATATGTAAATGTATGTGTTTATATTTTTTACGTACATATATATTGTATATGTATAAAATTGTTCTTATTTGAAATTTATATATGTAAGATCATAATTTATATAAATATGTAATATTCAAATAAGAGCAATTTGAAGTTAATGAATGAGCGCTATCATTTTCTTTATATATTCCGTAATAACTATTAATTATTGTAACAACTATAAATCAGTTTTATTATAGCAACTCAAAATTACTGCTCAGTGTAATTTTATATACAACAAAAAATTGCGTTTTTAGGAATTTTACTGTGTATATTTAGGATTTTCTACATGTTATATTATAATATTATGTACATAATGTACGTCGCCGCTTGTACGATCAGATACTTTTTCCTTTAATGTAATTTTCTGTAATAATGTATATTTAGAGTTAATAATAGGGAATGACGATGCTGTACAATACGTATATATATACCTTGTACATATATATGTACATTTATCGTTATAAATGAAAACTGTAGCTCGGCCGTTTTATAATTTCGATCATTTGTTGCCTGGCAGCTTTTCCGCATCGATACAAATTACGCTCGTGAACAATGATTCATTTTCGACGAACATTTTAAACGAACTTGCTGATATTTTCCCTTGACGCACGTTGAAATAAAGTTCAAATATATTGCGCACATAAAACACGTACCAAAATAAAATATCAAAATAAAAAGACTTACTATGTTATGTAAGACTTACTGAGTTTTTTTCGAACATTTGTTTGCTTTGTAGTAAGTGTTTCATTACAAGATGCATTACAAAACACACAACAATATACAAACATGATGAATGCAAAACAATAAAAGCAATAGGATTATTTAAAATCAAGCTATAAGAAATCAAGCCAAAGCATATCTATATATTCTTATTTCTCTAAGTAACAAATTTCCAAATAAATGTATATCTATTAAAATATTTACGCGAGAATAATAACTTAATAACTTCACAAGTGAATTATTCATAACATTGCATTTCGCAAATTTTGTAGCGTTATGCTAAAATTAATCAATTGCGCACGTGAATCGCCTTAGAATACTAGCTTTCTCAACCAGTAGTAAATTATTGCAGCATAAATTATGAAAGAGAAACACATGATCATCGAGGGCCAGGACGACGCTTGTTCTTTGTTCGGTTTTTGATGGTGCCAATCTACTTGATTATCCTCCATCGGTTCTTTTATTTCTACAAATAAAAAAATTAATTTATGAAGATCTTAATAACATTGAAAATGTACATGATTTGCGACTACGATGTATGATTCTTCTAAGTAAGAGATTAACAGAATTATGGTATATGATTCTTCTACTAACAATAAGAATCGATTCCATCAGTGTAAGAGATTAACTTTAATCTTGATTCAAACTACTGTTTACTTTTTTGTAATCGTAGGAATTAGCAAAAGATTAACAGTAAATTACGATTAAAATTAATTAATCTTACATTGATGAAACTGGACTTGGAGCATAGAATAATTGTAATGTGAGTGTGTCTGTATTTATTGTGCCATTATTCTTAATATAAATATGGTAGAATGTTCTAAAGAGAGTAAATCTTTTATTTATATTCGGTTCCTATTTCAAAACAATCTTAAGTAATGTCTTATGCTAAAATGATTAGTTTACGACATCTTAGTTTGAAAACAATCACCTGGGATGTTTTTACATCTCAGCGATAAAGAGTAGAAATTGTTATAAGATATTGTTATATGAATATTATTTGACATATTTTTTTTCATTTTTTAATAATTATTCTTTACGAAAATGTGCATTTCCATCGAAAACCCGCAGTAATAAGTGCTGTGTATATATATATATATATATATGTGTGTGTATATGT